CTGAAGTTTCACGTCCAAACCCTCCTGCTCCAGAGTATCCACTTTCAGTTGTTCCAGAATATATATTCGACCCTTGACCAGTGTAAGAAGTTCCATGCGTAGTTCCTGCACCAAAATACCCACTTCCCGATCCTTGACCAGTATATGAAGTTCCATGTGTAGCTCCTGCTCCAGAATATCCACTTCCAGTTGCTCCAGAATACACACCCGACCCTTGACCAGTGTAAGAAGTTCCATGCGTAGTTCCTGCACCAGAATACCCACTTCCCGATCCTTGGCCAGTATATGAAGTTCCATGTGCAGCTCCTCCTGCTCCAAGGTATCCACTTCCAGTTGTTCCAGAATATACACCGGATCCTTGACCACTGTACGATGTTCCATGACTGGCTCCTGCTGATCCAGAGTATCCTATTCCTTGTCCAAACGGTGATCCGTGGCCTCTAACTCCAGCTGCTCCAGAAAATCCTGATCCAGTGGCAACCGTCGAACCAACCGTATACCCTTCCCCACTCTGGCTACCCGTGTAACCATGAGGTAATGCTCCTGTGTAGTATCCACCAGTACCCGCGGTAGTTCCAGTGCCGTAGTATCCTCCGCCATATTCCGATCTTGTGTAAGCGGTATCAGAGTAACCCGGTACCAACCACGGCCACTCGCAAATCAACTTTTGCTCGTCGAAGATCAAGCCGAACGGGCAACGGAATTCGTAAGCCGTTATTTCAGGGCCTCCTGTCGTCAGAATTTGAAGTTAATGTTTCAGATAAACGTTTGGGACAAGATTGAAAGATTGTTCAATGAAAGACGTGAAACCTAGGTCGACGCAGGCGAAGAACCAACGAGGATTTTGCGGATCCGCGTAGTAGCCAGATTTAGAGGGGCACTCAAACCTCACTCGAGGCACCGGCGCGATTTCGCTGCTTCCTGGACACGGTGATCCTTCAGGCAGAGATCCTGGCCAAACGCAGACTTCTGTACGCTCGTCGAACGATAGACCTGCTGGACAGTCGAACTCGAACACGGAGTAGTCCTCCACTTCTTGGTTGAACTTGACACATCGATAGAATCTGCAGGATGAGAGATAGGAAATTGCTCGTTCCGTTACAACGAGAAGAAAAATATTCGCAACGACAGCGACGTACCTGTTGCAACTTTTAGGATGCACGAAGTAGCCTTGTCTGGAGCAAGTGAACTCTGTTTGCGTGTTTTCTCGAACCACTCTGATGTGCCCTTCGGTGTCCACGACGCGGACCACTCGAAAATCGGATGACTTGACTTTAGTCGAATACTCGAGCTCGGTTTGCTGAAATTAAAAGTAATTCTGCAATTGATCGACATTTTACAAGACATTCACTAATGCTACTGAAGGAACAAATTACTTGAACTTCAGTCGTGTGTGTAAATTCGTAGATTCGCAAAGCGTGGTAATTTATTTTGAATAATTTGTCAGTCGAAATTAGAATCGATTTTGAATAGCTTTAGACATTGCCATCGACTGATACGTAATCCGCGATCCAGACTTTCACCGAAAGGTGGCGTACTGATGAAGATTTCAATTCTTCAACCTACGTGCAAATCGTCTTCCAACGAGTTCAGAACAGCGGCCCTCGACTTCCTCTTGAAGCTCGAGAACGAACGATGAACCTCGTGCGTAAGAGGCATCCCGCACGTTGTTTTAAAGTCGTTCTCGACGTCGTGAATGGCCAATCCAGGAAGCTCTCGTATCAGCGCGTACTTTCCCTAAAAGAAGAAGAGAAAAGAAAAATAATCCTTCGGTCAAATCAGAATTCGGAGGATAAAAATGAAAATCCCTTACTTTTATAGAAACCGATATCCTATCTTCGAAGGCGATCCACGTTTTATCTTTGAACGCGTAAGGAGCGGTAAGATCTTCGTCCCTCTCCACCGTCCACTCACCTTTGTTCATTAAATCGCATAGCTGAAAGAATCATCGACAATTTTAATGGTGGAAAAAAAATCGTGAATAATCACCATTCATCCATCGAGTAATAATAAACAATGTTCTTAAGAATTATTCATTTTCATACCTCTTTCTGATCAACGATAACCGGCTGGATCTCCTCGGTTAGCGCCCCGGGGGCATTATCGTCCTGATCCTTCAGCGTGAACTTGTACGCGCTGGCCGGCACCGACACCAGGATCTTCCTCTTAGGCACGCCTAATCCGCTGATCAAGTCGATCAAGCTGTCGGCATTGAACATGTCGAATAGGCCCATCAATCGTGACGGATGAAAAGTGCGATGGGTCTCGTCATCTTCGACCAAATAGTGCGTCGGGACGGTGAACAGATCCACGTACCTGTCGGGGAACACATCGATACACTCTTGGTTTGTTTTATTTTCTTTTCTTACACTTTTTTTTTTTTTTTTTTTTTATTTCTCATACATTCGTTCGTTTCTCGAAAAAAATACAATGTAATTATCTCGTGAACTACGTCGGCGGGAGAACACACACTGTGAACGATCTCATTCATTTTTTCTTTGAAGAACTGCTTCTTCGAATATCCGAAAGTCATCCATATTCAACGAAACATCGCGCGATTATCATCGTTTGTCTAGGATCTACTCTTTACGTTTCAGCCTCTGAATATCTGAATATTTCGTCACGCCTACGAATTCTCGAAATTGAATCGTCACTCGAATCGACGAATGAAATTGTATAATTAGCGGCGGGTCGACGAGAGGATTCGAAGCGTTCGCCTCGGATGCCGATGAGAAAGCATCTATCTCAGAATTTCATCAGCAATGAAACACGTATACAAAGGAGACAAGGCAGAGGATTCGTTTCACGTAAGGATTGACGTTCCCTCGTAAGTCGTAATCTCGTCGAGTCGACTCGTACGCATTCTCTTGTTCGATCCGTCATCCATATTCAATGAAAAGAAGTTCAACGATATACGACGACTGCTGTATCAAATCAATTAGAAGGCGCGTGAAAATCCGCACCGCAGAGTCGTTTGATCAAGTGGTGCATCGACTCGTCGCGGCATTCCTGACCTACCTGATCTACCGAGTAGTGGAACTGGCACAAGGTTAGGCAGACACGCCGAACATGGACGGATAGATTCTACTGAATCTGTTTTTACTCAATTCGCCGGCCAATAATCCATGAGATTAAAACGTACGCAACACGCTGATTCGTCTGGCTTGTAGAGTATCAGACTGTTAATCTGAGGGTTTGAGCCCCTGTTCGGGCGAAAAAGAAGACATTGTCCTTTAGGACAACAGCACGGGAGAGCTCTGTGTGTATAAAAAGATCCCGAAGGCCATCGTGGGGGTTTTAGTCGGTAAAAATCCCTTAAAAGGCTCAGGTGTCTTATTGAAGATTTCCTCCACGTAAAAAAAAAAAGAAAAAAGAAGAAAAGAACACGTCTGGATTAGGCGTGGTATTTAATTATATTTTCACATTACTTTGATCACTATTCGATATCGGCTTCGATCAGAGCTTCCCTCAGACCGGCGAATTACCACTTGGATTTCAGTTAGTTGCAATTAGGCGGATTGAACGCAATTCTTACTTGGTCAATTCCTTCAGATCGAACTGTTTGGCGAGTTCCTCCGAGTTCGTCGGTAGAACCAAGAATACTCTCTTGTCGTACGATTTTCTCACCAGTTCGTCCTTCAAACCCTTCACAAAGTGCACCAGACGTTCCTTCGATCCGGCAGTCATGTTCAATTCGACTCCGTCAACCTGTGGAAATTGAGCAAGATCTTTCAGAAACGAGTCGTTGGATACGCTCCAAGGCAGTGAGAAAAGGCAGGAATGGTAATTGCCTCTTTCAAAATTCCCATCAAACGAGCGATGATCCCTTGACGAACGGTGCCGGAAGTACACAGCGTTCTCCCAGGATCGTCCGCGGAAACCACGAACTGCAACCACGGACTGATCTCCTTCAACGACTTCTGAAAGCCCTCGAATTCTGAAAAAGAAGAGAGAAAAAAAAACGTACGAAATAAAAGATACTTGCGTAACAAGAAAACGCCTCACGCAATTGCCACATTGTTTACATTGTTCGCTGTTCCCTTGGAATGTTGCTTCCACATATTTCCACTTTCTTACGGCCCCTTTAAATCGCCACGATTTTTCACGATTCTCAAGGTAAAAACACCTAATGGTAAGACACGTTTCATAAGGATAATATCTGCTGCCGTAAAAGAAAAAAAAAATAAATAAATAAACAACTGTCCGCGAGAAGTTCCGGCTTCCTTTCCACGTGATTGTCAATCTCGCCGTTCGGTGAAACGAAATCTTCGTCCACGCCGTGCAATTAATCGCACGACTTTCACGTATTTTTCTAATTGGACGGTGACAGTGATTGTTTCTAAAAATGACTTCCTATTAACGGCCCTTTCGTAACCGTATCGTCATTATGGTTGCAGGATTTTCTTTTCGAGATGTTTAATCTACCGGTATCTCATGGTGTTCCGTAGCAGAGGATGATTCCAGAGCTCGTGAAGAAAGTTTCTTTCGTCTGAGGCTTCTTTTGAAAATTTCTCAAAGTGCCACAGCGATTTTGAATTCAATTAATTCAAAATCTTTTTTTTTTTTTTTTGGAAGTTTTAAGTTAAAAAAAAAAATTGTATTCTATTTTCTGATACGTCTAGAATCAACCAAATTCAAGAAAAAATTTTGTTCCATTGAATTTTTGACGTTTCTACATTATTTTCGTAGAATAACTTTCTATTAATTATTATTTTCTGATGCGTCTGCAATTAGCCAAATTTAAATGACAAACTTTCAAAC